GACTGGAGTAACAACTGGAAGCTGGCCTTCAATGTTGACAAATGCTCACTTTGCACAGTAACACGGAAACGCAGCCCCATAATTTGCAACTACAGAATGGGAGAGAAGGCTCTTAGCAGGGTGAGAGCCCAGCGCGATCTCGGGGTACTTATGTCAGATACAGCTAGCTTCAATGATCACATCCAAGCCCAGGTAAACAAGGCTAACAAAATGCTGGGTTTTATTCGTCGCACTATCAGCGGAAGCAAAATTTTATTACCAACTCTGAGATCCCTTTATGTGGCTCTCGTACGTTCTCACCTTGAGTACGCCTCTGAAATCTGGAGCCCAAAATCAATTACTATGATAAAAAGAATAGAAGGGGTGCAACGACGTGCGACTCGGCTTATGTTACCCGATTTTAGCTATAATGAACGCCTAAAACGTCTCAACCTGCTACCACTGGTTTACCGCAGAGAAGTCAAGGATCTTTCAACTTTTTATAAACTGAAGTGCGGGCATTTTAACTCTTCACTTAAGTCGTATTTTCAATTTTGTTCAGATGAGAGATTAAGATCGCATGCAAGTAATAAACTAAGAATTAATAGATTCAGGACGGAACTTTTTAAGGGAACATTTTTTAATAGGATTCCGTATCTATGGAACAATCTGCCTGATGCGTTGAGGACGGCTAGCTGTAGTGTTTCTTCTTTTAAGAGACTATGCACTAATTTTTATAACGATAGGGTTTTCGACCCTGAGCACCCATGTACCACCTGGGCTAAACCAGCACTTAGTTAGTAAGGTTGTTAGTTAGTAAGTTAGTTAGATTACTCAGTTAGGTAGTTAGCAGCTAGCCAGTTACATACCTTGATTAAGTTTTTTATATATCCGTATATTTTCTTCATAATGGGTTGACTAGCACGTATGGTTCGTCAGTTCCCTTCTAGTCTTCCCCACTGCCTTGTTATGTAACCTAATTTGTTATTATTGTGTGTTCTTTTGTTTTATTTTCCCATGTAATTGCAGTGAAATGGAATAAATTAAATTAAATTAAAAATGAATTTCTGACTGTTCAATGGGATTATAGACTGAGGTACCTGATTCAGGAGTTACAACAGTCACATTCTTGCTGGCAGGACTGTCATCCCCTTCTGTTGAGGCTTGTAAATAGAAGCTGTACTTTGTGTTTGGTGTCAGATCATTAGCTATGTAATTCGTTCTTGGACCAGAGTAAACCAATTTTTCATCTGCATTACAGTAAATGAGCATTACAAGTAAATGGTTGATCTTGTGACCTAATATTCCTAATTCTGGAAAACACTTTGGAACAGTCTTTAGTTCACTTTCTGTCATCCTTAATTCCTTAGAGCAACATATCAATTGGATGTGTCATTGTAAGCTGATCACTGGAGTAGGAAGTAACATAATCTGCATAGTATCTTACCTATAGGATCTCATATTATACACTGGACTATTGATAATGATAAGTCTAAAAGGTACTCAAGCAGTGGCCTCCACCCTCTCTATTTAAGAATCAATCTTTAAATGTCTAGCTACCTTAAGTTTTGAGAAATAAATTACCTTGGAAAAGAAGGTATGTGACATCAAGACCACTTTTTGGACTGATATGATCCCAGCTCACAATAATACTGTTGGCACTCTCCACTTGAAAGTTAAAAACAAAACAACCTACGTCAATTCTGCTAATTTTCAACCTAACATTACATTACCATGTTTAACCTGCATGAACAGACTTTGACTTATTCCTTTTTGAAGTTCTTATCCATTGATAAATTGTTTGAGGCAATTATTTTAAAGATTGCTCGACATAAGTGCATTTCTTTTCTTCATTAATTTTTTAACTTTGTACTTTGTGTCCGATTTTGGACACTTGTGTCTGATTTGCATAGTTGTGTCAAATTTTGGACACCATCATCTGATTGAGGACACCAGTGTTGAAATTGGACACTAGTCTCCAACATGACACACTAGTGTCCAACATCAGACACTTAAGTCCACAATTAGACACTGGTGTCCAAATTAAGATACCAGCATCTACTGTTAGACACTATACAAGTGTCCAAAATGGGACTCTAGCATCTAATATCTGATAGTACTACTGTCCAAAATCACACATCAGCACAAGGCACACTTAAAAAATAAGTACTGTATCAACCAAATGAGGTATGTATTTTGTCAAGAGTGTATAAGACCAAAAAGTCTCCTACAGGGAATCAGGCCTTTAGATTTTGTGCTCTGATACTCTACCAGAGAGATACGCAGAACTCTATGACAAGCAAGACCACTAAAAACAAAGTTCATACATGATAAGTGTCCTGCATTATGCTATGATTACCAAATGTCAAAAGCACCAATTGAGTTATGGTAACTGAACTACCATACTAAACTTGCACAATAGAACTGCAAACCTTTTATATTAGGTGGTTTAGGTTGGGGAAGTTTTTCTAAAATGGCCAGAGTCGCTTCCACCTCCTCCTTAGTATCCTCTTTCAGACTTGGCCTTTCTAAGAGAACCTACCAAGTAAAAACAAACAATCAATCCGTGCACTTCCACAAGCTAGCAGAGACCAAAAAGGCATTCCTCACTGCAATATCACTAAATTGTCTGGCAGAAAGTTGATGGAAAAGAAAATATCATTTAGAGAATATTGTTCTTAGATCTTGTATTTATTCATAAGAAATGTATGACAGACAATGTGGAAAATAGCTATTCACATACATGTGGGGAAATGCAAGGATTAAATGACCAACGCCTTTAAATTTAAGGCACCTGCTCTTAGCAATTGCAACTTGATGTTGTCAGTATGTGGTCTTATACATGTAACACAACAACACACATGTACTTAATGGTCTATTAATTATTGATATAAATAAATATTGAATTTGTTATAAGGTACATTAAAAAAGTGCCCTACTAAACTTACTTCCCCCATAGTGACAGAGACGTTGAATTTAACGCATGAAACATGCTGACTTAACCAACCTCTAACGACTCTCTCACATTAGGCTGAGTTCTGAGATACAAACATCCACTTTTTTGACAGGCAAAGGTGTGCAACAGCCTTCAAAATTTTCCAGAAAAATGAAGAATAGGAAATGTTAGCCTATGTGTTGAAAGTATTTAACATAGAAAACTAACTCCCAACAAGGACAGGGTTTAGACAATACACACAAACTGATCTTAAATTATAATTCTAGTCAAGACACAAAACATAGTTACTAGTAATGAGTACTAGACGCGCCTTAATGTTAATTTTTGTAGGAAACATGTTTTATATCTTTTCTCTTTTTATGTATTGCACCTGTTATACAACAATTTGTTTGTCAGGTCAATTTATTGCAATCTTCTATTAAGTTAATTGGTTTTTCATTAAGTTATCCAACCTCAGGGTCAATTTGCTGATCTTTATTTTGTTTTGTTTTGCTTTTTCTCCATTCTGTTGTTTGTGGCTCAGTATATCTTTCAAAAACAAACAAACGACTAACTAACTAACTAACAAAAGAAGTACATTAAAATTACTTTAAAAACCAGTAATGCAGTGCTATTTTAACTTACATTGATGCAAACCAGATGCTTTCTTCATCAGTTACAGTCAAGAGAGAGCAAAGAACATCAACAATGCTATTAATCTTTTCATTTTTCAGCAGGCGCTGATGTCCTTGAACTAAGGATGCAATGCAGCTTAATGCAAAGCAAGCATTCTTGCAGCACCCAGAGTCAGCAGAGTGTAGCATGTCAATGAGAGAGTTGATCTGTTCAATTACAACAGAACTTAGCTAATTAGTAATTTACAATTCAATTCAATGCAGCTACTTTTAATTAATTATTACCATTAGGTTGGATGTTTTCAAAGATAACATTCTTTTGCATCCAGCTTCAAAGTCACAAAGTCTCCCAATGGCAAAGGCTGCATTCATCCCTCTACCTGTGGATTAAGTAAGGCCATCATTATAGATAAATATAAAAGAATTATATTCCAAAGGGTTGGACCAATGACCCAAACTAGAGCTTTTTCATTTTTTTCAGGGTTTTAAATTGTTTTGAAATAGTTTCTAATTGTTGGGGCTACTCAACTTATTTTGTTTCCCTATGATTTTCAATAATTTTTATCCACTTTCCATGACCTACACACAAATTCTACAACTTTTATTAGTTTACTAAACAGGTGTGAAAGGTGCAAAAACCCACTTATAACCCATTAAGCTCAGATCCAACTCTCTCAATTGATCCATAATTGGGTACATAATATGGCAGTTTATATTGGCCAACTGATGCAAAAAATTGGTACAATAATTGACACTATGCATTTCACCCTTTTCAGAATCAAGAAAGAACAAAAACAATTTGTTTTCATCTTGAACTTCTGTAACAGTTAGGTGACATGTTGTCAGAACAATAAAATGAAGCCCTTTACCTGTCTCATCAGATCCTAAAGCTCCACACAGCTGCACCAACGTATGACTTGAACTACGATGGTTCAAAATCCTGGCACAGCCTTCTTCAGCTATTGTAAGCCTGAAATGTTCAACAAATCTTACATTAATTTAACTTTCAACAATCCATTGAAAACAGATCTATATTGTCTAGCTGATTCACAATTCAGTAGCACTGACTGTTGATGATAAACATTGTGCAGATATGATGCTTCAATCCAAAAAGAGTTATCAACATGGAGTTACCTGGCTAACACCAAGGCAGCATTACTAGCTGTACACATGTCTTTGGAAGATAGAAGGTTTGTTAGTTTGATCATGGCTTCATCCAAGCAGTCCTCACGCAGCATCCACATACGACAATCCCCATCTTCTGCCTAAAGAAATTATCAAAATTTGGATATTCAATATCCATTAGATCAAATGAATGTAATACTCACTTATAGGTTGGATCATATTTTGTATAGAGAGATTTGCTGTAGGTACAATTAATTAAACAAATGGATTTCATGTTACCTTGCATATGTTCAGTATCGGATCACAGACAACATTAAAAGTAGTAAGGACTATAAAATTAATTGACACATGAAGTACAGCCAAGTGTGTTGTTGATGTTTTAACACATTTTGATGCCTTCTGTGATCTGTTATGAAATAAAAGTGTAAAAAAATGGAGCCTATTGGTTTTATACTATAAAGATGCAAAATTCTGTTAACGGTGAGTCATCATGTAAACGCCTCTCCTCCTATAAGCCAAACATTTTCTCAAGCTTGAAAATTATCATTCTGTAGAACAGAAATGCAATATAAAGCCTTACCAATGTTCCCATGGTTCCTGCAGCATTCATGACAGTTTCTGTATCAGCCATGTCTAACATGTTAGTGAGTGCCGGCAAAATTTTCTTGGCTTGGTCACCTTTGTCTGTGCATATCTGAACTATTCTTCTTTTACCCAGATCTGTCTCAGCCAGTGTTCCAATCACAAATGATGCATTACCAGCAGTTCTACAAGAAAAGTAATCCATCCTCAATTCATCAATAATTATTCCTAGAGAGTCTTCTGAAAATTTTTCAGAGCTTGGTATTAGCTGAAGAAGGGTTCCCTTTAAAGTTAACTAAGTTTTGCACAGGGATAAACTCACAGCCCTGAGGTCCCCAATCCTTACCCCAAGGATATATTCTGGTTAATAACCCTTCAACTTCTGTGAGTGACCAAGGCAGAATTTTTCATTGCAACATCAATACAATTTCAAGCAGACAAGTTATGAGAATATAGAAAAATCTAAATCAGGGGATTAATGGTTGATCCAATACCAAATCCATTGGTAAATTCTATGAACACATAAGGATTGCCTAGAAGATAACAAGGAAAATTATTAATGACATCTGTCATCTCAGGAAAACCCTCATTCGCTATAGTTTCCATCGAGGGTTTTTCTGGAATCTAAAGCTTCCAAAATTTTCCAAGTTTAGAGTAGTAGCCAAAACCCAATGTAGATATTACAAAAAACAAACAAATGCTTTGCACCTAACAAAAAACTCTGGATATCATACAACAGTTTCCATTTCATTAACAATCGTGAGCCATAACAGCTTGTGGAAATTTAGTCTGCAATTTGTTTAGAGTCAAATGGTTTCCATGGAAACAACAAACAATTTAGAATGAAAATTTTGACTCCCTACAATATAAAGCAGAAAGGCAATGACGAGAAAAAACACCAACTGGGATATTTTTTATTTATCAACTGGGACACTTTTTGATTTAGCAACAAATTCTTAGTAAAAATTTAAATATAGAATGTGAGGAAGACAGTACAGAGAATTGATATATTGATGGTTGAAAAGGGTTACTGGTGTAAAATGAAATTTCCTTGGGGAAAATAGAAAAGATAAACTTGTCATGATAGGCAGGAAATAAATTATTCATAACATGATGAGCCACTCACAGGCACAGGAAATACTTGTTACAAACACCAGGAAATAAGCAAGGTGTTGAGAACAATAATTATCACAAAATTAGAAGGAAAGAGACCCATTTTGAGATAAAACCACAGAAATTACAATGTTAGCTTGTTTTCGCAAGTTTCTCACAGCTTTGAAGGGTTAATAATTATCAAACTTTTAAAATTATCATAAGAATTATTCAGGAAAATGTACACCAAAATGGCATGCAAAGTAAATATTACCCAAGTATAAAATTACACAAAAATTCCCTGTGGTGGAGAAAAGTGGACGGAAAATGTATAACTAAATGTTTAGGCAACACTTAACAGAGCATGATAATTATAATGATCTAATCCTTATCGTTCACCGAAAAAATTCGGAATGATAATCCTATGTACAAAAACACCGCATACATATTAAATTTACTGGTGTGGCTTAGCCGAGCATGTGTTCTTTCCTCGAATAAAGACATCGTAGCCGCAATTTGAAAGAGGCAGGTTTTTTTCACGATCATCGAAAAAATAAATTGTCGAGAATACCGAGTCTTTTTGAGGAATGAACGTAAGATTCAATTAGAGGTTAATATATATTTGTAGTTAGCTTGTTTTCGCTAGGCTTTTGTATAATTCCAAAAACAACACAAATGAAGACAATAGTTAACTAATCGACTCATTACCATCGCCTTCGAGACCCGCTGGTTTTTAACTGCAATTGATACTGACCTTTTCGATAATGTTTTGACTTATTTAATTTTATTTAGAGATTGCTCCTCATTCAAAACCAACTTCGCTATTGTCCAACAGTGTTGAAAGTTTCACACAACAACCTTTCCAATTTTCAGCTGTCCACACTTGGACATAAACAAAACGCGTACTCACCGTGAATCTTCCATCAAGAGGTTCATAAGGCCCCACAGCATGTCTTCTGAGCCAGGGTGATTTAAAAACAAGTAACTGCATAGCTCTTTGTCACTGTGAAGCTCGTGAACCAGCCGGTCGAGAACGCGCGGGGTTTGAAGGTTGTGCCGAAAGAGGCTCGTCAAATCTTTGTTTAAAGTGCGCCCAGCTTCTGCTAATAACAGCATCGTTATCGATAACTGCTACCTACGGGAGTATACGTCCACCACCAGAGATTGCAGCCTTTTGAGGCGCGACATTTTTCTAAGTGCACATGGTTTCATAGAAACCTTTTCACACCTCTAATCCATAGTTTCCTTACTTGGTGCCTTTTTGATCACGAACGGCCCGTTTCTTTACATTTCTAACAGATATTTTGATTGGTTTGCTGTAAAGTTTTTCCTAAACTGACCAATCAGGCGGTATAGAATACACAGGACAAATTTAACAAGTTGGTCCATGTAATAACCCCAGGAAATCCTGATTTGAATATTCTCTTTTTTCGCATACGAAAGTGAACAATAGCTCACTAAAATAAAATAAGAAAGTTATGTTAGGAAAAAGATTTTTTTCATTTTGGTACGCTTCGAAAGACACCATCCTATCATTACCACAAAGAGATCCTCTTGGAGGAAGGGTTGGGAAAGAGGGGGAGGGGGGAGAAAGAAGAATTTTCGCCCTTTACAAGTTCACCATAACACTAAATGCTGTAAGAAGTTCAGCGCTAAATCTGTGACCTCAAACAGACCAATCCCCTAAAATACTAGATACCGATTTTTTTTTCTTTCTGTGATTTTATTGTTGTTTAGGTAGGTTAACGGTACAAATCATACTTGTGTCTCAAATAGTTTTGAAGTTTTCATTTCAATTATCGTAAGCTTTAAACCAGAAGAATTCATATTATTCAAATAGCGGGAAAAAAAAAAATACAAACTCGAATTTTGGTCTTCGGTATAAATACATACTACCGTGTCTCAAGGCCGTGCAAAGACTTAGTTTAACTCTCACATGGTGAAATCCCAATTCTAGTACTACAGATATCTTAAAGTTTTTTTTTACTCTTATTAAGTCCACGTTATATGACTATTCATCACTTTCTTTCCAGGGTAGGCAGTCCTTTCATTTGTACTCAGGTAAAAGTTTTCAAAATCAGACATTCACCTTCTCACGGTGTGCTCTTGGATGAACTAACTAGTACTGTTGGAGAGGATGACGAGCCAGATGAAAAAGATCAAAGTGATGAAAATAATGAGGGATAATAATACTAACAATAATGATAATAATAATAGTAATAATAGTAATAATAATACAAATAAAAAATGTCCAACCTCTGACAACTGATCTAGGCAAATAAACCAGACAAGTTGTCTTGGAAGTGCTGTAGGAACATAACCCAGTCATAAATTCGAACCAAGAGCGGAACAGCTGATATTATCTTAGCCCCCATGCCCCACTCGAATTTTCCAAAATCCTCTTTGCGTCGTTCGTTGGCACAAGCAAACATCTTTGCAGTCCTTACAGTCTTGAGTGTGTCCGTCATCGATTCTTTTGTTAAACGAATACACCTAAATACGCATAAATTTTTCAATTCTGGTGGATTACCTAGGTGGATTAATACGATAAAGTCATTGCAGTAAATGGTTTGAACCCGGGGGTAATATGTGAAGGTGTAGTCTGATCGTCCGGGTGAGTGTAGTCCTGAGAAGGACTGTTGTCGGTGGTAGTGACTGACGTTTCGACAACCTGTGCGGAAGTCATCACTTGACTCTGATGATGACTTCCTCACAGGTTGTCAAAACGTCAGTCACTACCATCGACAACAGTCCTTCTCAGGACTGCACTCACCCGGACGATCAGACTACACCTTCACACAAAGTCACTGTTAATCATTGTACGAAATAAACTCATGAAATCTTTCTGCGACTAGTTTCAATTTCATTTTCTATTATAATTATCATCATTTCTGCCGTTATCGTTGATAAAATAATAATTATTATTGATAACTACAAAAAGGTGGGAGGGGGGAGGGTGGGAGAAGCCAAAGGCCTTTCAAGCCCTGCGCCCTTCGGTTTGCTTGATCCCTGATCTCATAAGCGCTAATCTCTCTAAATGTCTCTACGCAGCATCTCAGAACAGTCGGAAGCTGGGCAAATTCTGGTTCATTTTTGCGAAAATATCCGTCACCAGTTTCGTGAGACAAGTGCACCCGGTTCAACCTCGTTCCCAGGGCCTTTTCCCGCCCCACCCCCAACTAAGGGAAAAGGCCCTGGCCCCTTGGAACGAAGTTGCACTCGGTAATTCTTTTTCCCTACCAAATTTTGCCAAGCCTTGTTACCAATCTTCAAAGGCGCCATCGCACTGCCTTGGAACAAGACAAATTTTTGTCAGGCGACACGCGTCAGATCTGACATTTTTTTTTTAATTTACAAGCCATGATTTGAAGAAACAAGTCATTTAAGAATATTTTATCTTGCTTTTTAGAAGCGAAAACGTTTAATTTTTACACGGCAACCAAACAGTGAAGATGGAAAATTATTTGTAACCCGGGATGCTGCATGAAAAATCTCCGGGCGCTCTTGTCTCACTCACCTGATAACAGATTATTTTCGCAAAATATGCAAAATTTTGCCTAGTGCACCCAGGTTTTTAAGGTTACCGTGCACCTTCAGGGGTGTCTCGCGTGCAAGCGATGTAGTGCGTCCGGTTTAAACTGTAGATATCTAAACCCCTATATCAAATTAAACCTTATAGGACTGGCTATCAGACTATACCAAAAATTTTGAAAAGAAATGAATTGTCGAATTTTTCACGACTTCTAAATGCGAGCCCCTGAATCACCTTTTAGGAGCTACAAGTCAAAGGAAATTTGTGCGATTACTCTCAAATTTTGACAGTAGCTAGTTTTACGTATAAACAACAAAAATATGTCTCCGAATTTTTTATTTCTAAATACCTTTTTTCAAGAGTGATTTTTGTACGATCATTCCACACTTTTTTAATCCTATTTCAAAAATGTTCTCTACCTTTTCACTGAAATTGAATATGGCAAATCGCAGACACGTTTTTTTTAGCGCTTTGGCCCCGGAAACGGAGGAACACATTAAATAAGCGAAAAACAAAATTCGCTTTAACATGTAACGTTCTAAAGGTGATTCGGGCGCTCGCATTTAGAAGTCGTGAAAAATTCGACAATTCATTTTTTTTCAAAATTTTTGGTATAGTCTGATAAGCAGTCCTATAAGCTTTAATTTGATATAGGGGTTTAGATATCTACAGTTTAAACCGGACGCGCTACATCGCTTGCACGCGAGACACCCCTGAAGGTGCAGGGTAACCTTAAACCAAATTATGGTCAGGTTTGAAATCTGACAGATTTTTTTAAATCTACAAGCCAAGATTCAGGAAGGAAAACGTAAATACGAAGTCTTTGAGGTAGAAGGCCGCCAAAATATTTCATTTTTAGGTGGCAATCAAACTGTGAAGATAGAAAATTTGAATCTTGGGACGGTTTAACGATCTGTACTCAGGATACTCAGAAACGGCTCCAAAACATCTCCAAGTCCAGGTACTGCTCAATTTGTACATTCATGCGATTGACACTTTGTGGTTAACCGTTATTTTACTGTTTTTCAGCGCACCCACAATTGACAAAAATTTTAAGTTTGGCGGAGACAAATTCTGTCGAGATAGTTGGTTTTCAGCCATAACGTCACGTATTCCTCGGACCCAATTTCCTCTCGATGCAGCTTGCAAGAGACGATCACATGATCGAACAATCTGATTGGAAAACAATTTGAAAAGTAGATCGATCTATGGCGACTAAGGGGATCAAGCGGACAAAACTGGCTTTTGAATACAATGGCTGCTGCTCCGAAAAGAAAAAGCAAGAGATTTAAGAATATAAAAGAACAATTCCTTACCCAGACGCCATTCTAAAAGAGAAACAATACACTAGAGCTAGAAATATGCGTAAATGTGTAAATTACCTGTTCTGAAAGAAAGGGCAAAGTTTATTTAAAAATGCTGAAGAAAGCTATAACTGGACGATGCCATGATGAAGGTTGGATAAAATTTTCAAGGTTAAATGTGTTATATTTTGCTTCATCAAAAAATACAATATACTATGGGTCTTGTAAGAATTCCTTTCAAGATATATGTTTTATTTATTTATGGACGTCATCCAAAGGGGAATCCCCGTAGAACTCAGCTGGCGGCACGGCTTTTGTGAGAGTGTACGAGTGACGTCACACACACCACTGTACTCAATTCTCCTGCTCAATTCGTAGTTGACGGTCTTCTTTCGTGAGGTACTACCCCTTGGCAGGTCAGCTAATTTTCCAAACTAAATTCTATTATATACATATACAAAGTTTTGTTTCCACTAATTCGATCACTGGTTGAACAATAATTATTTAGTGTGTTTGTACTATCGAGATTATAACTACAAGCGCAAGTTTGATATTAATAGTACATTTTACATTTTTCTATTCATTTATTTTAGAGAACCAAGTGCGATGAACTTTCTTTGTGGACATCTTTCCATACTCTTCTTCCAGGGTAACTGGTTGTTTAAATCAAAATTTTTTGCGATTTCGGTAAGTTGCAGTGTCAGCAATATTATTAAGAAATGGATAATTGCAGGGAAAACAATACTGCAGGAAAGCGTACGATCGTTTTCTCAACGAACTCTTTTAAATCTCTCTTACGTAGAAAGAAGAAACACGTCGAACTATAATATGTGACCGAAAAGTTATGCTGAAACTCTGTATTCAGCTGTTATCCCGGACCGTAGCTAGTTAATAATTATTTCACCCTAAAAATTGATCGTGTGATTCGCAGGCTAGCGTGATATCAACAGCACCTCGCTTGCGTTCATCAATGGAAGCCCACGATAAGCTACGCATCTGGCAACATTTCATCGTCGCGAAACATCTATATTTCATGTAACCTATAAATGTTTTGATCTAACACTTTTGATTTTAGCAAATTGGACTGTTCCTTTCGCAATTAACCGAACACATTTCTCCGCATAAAAACTCTTGAAAGTGAGATAGGTAGATCTCTTTCTTAAAAGGAAATTCCTCTACGATCACATTAAGAAGTTTCGAGTGTGGGTTCGATTTCTTGATTTGCCTTTTGCTGTTGATCTGGCTCAGCGAGGGCATGCATATCCAACTTTGGCTTTTAGAAGCAAAGTCATACTCTCTATCGACTATGGGTTGATTGATTGGTACAGAGAGGGTTATCTCTGCTTGGTTATTCTTCACATTTTCTTGATTTTTGTCTTTTCTTTCCACAGTTATTTCTTGCACTTTCAACATTCAGTACTGTTAAAGGCAAAAATTGGCAGTGCCCAGATTGCAATAAAGAAGGATATATCGAAATCATTGATCCGAAAACTGGCAATTGTGAAACATGCTGGCCTTGTCCTGAATGTGGGGAGGGTGCAGGTTCATCTGTTCAATGCAAATCGAGTGTACCTAGGGGCACAGACATACACTGTGTTTCTTGCATTATGGGCATTAACTTCTCTAACAGCTCCAGTACTGAAAAGTGCCAACCTTGTGGTGTCTGTTCAGGAAAGCACGAGCATGTCACAGCTGAATGTTCCCCTTTGAGTGATGTGGAATGTGAATGTGAAAGTGGATTTTATAGAAACAAAACCACTCATGAATGCCAGTCATGTGATTCCTGTTGCTTCACTGATGCAGACGATGATATCATCGAAAAATGTCAGGAAAACGTTGAAATCAAAGAAGATGAACAATCTGTGTTCAGCCCCTCTACAGCCATTGCAAAAACCACAACTTCATTCAAATCAATCAAGATCCATAAATCTGTAACTCCTTTTCTTCTGGGCTCCACTGGTATTCCAGTTCCTTCGAGGACCCAATTAATCCAATCTACACCAACAAGTGTTTCATTTCCAATTCAAAAGCATGATGTGGTACCTACAGAAAATGTGATCATTATGAATGTACATACAACAGGACATGAACATGGTGAAAGTATGAAATGGATCAGAGGACTTACATGCACTATGGGTGTTTCTATTTTTGTCATACTGTGTTGTTGTTTACTCTACCTAGTGTTAAAAAGAGTAAGGAAAAACAGAGGAAACAGAAATGTATTACCAGCTGTATTTTATCGTGTACCTCAGCATGATGTGGAAAACTATGGGTTGCAAAAGAGGATTGATGGGCACTGTACCCCTGGTTCTGATGAATCAAGAAGAAATTCAAATACAGTTGTTTTTCAAAAGGATCATGGAGTTGTAAAAGGGGATCAGCTTGAGAACACTGCCAGCAAAGACTCAGTTCAGACAGGTGAAATTAAGGAAAACTAAAGGGTCATTAGTCTAATTTACTGGGATTAAGGGTTACACAGCCAAAATAATGATAACTTTGGAGAAACACAACACGGTGCCATTTGAAGTGATTGTAACCTCTAGAATAACAATAGTTGCACTAAGTGTTTTCCTTAGCTACTCTGGTAATTATAACATAACACTTTTTACTTTTTTCTTCCATTGAAGGATAGATTCAATTATTTTTATTTCTGTCTGGCAAGAAATATTTATATTTATAAAATTCCAGTCTCTAGCCTTCAAAAGGATTGCTCACAAGGTGAGATCCTCACTTACTGTGAATTTTTCCAAAGTGAACCCTTGGTCTATATGCCTACAAGAAAGTTTAAGAATGAAATTTTGCCACCAATGTCAGCGACATGTTTTATTATTCCTCATCGAAAATATGACACTTATTTTGCCTTTTTTTGATTCTTACATAGCATCTGATCTACTTGTTGTTGATATGCAAGGGGGAAACCATGGAGCAGGCTGTAACTCAACTCCACTTCCTCAACCTGCAAAAGACAACTTTGGCTATTCAACCTGCATAACAGATGTACCTCAACCTATCATCTGTAAAATGTGCAGGCTACTTGACATTGAAAGAGTTGCTGATGAGAACGATTATAGAATGCTTGGATATGAACTTGGCCTTACACCATCAGAGATCACTTCCATCAAACAAAAAAGTAAAGAGCCATCTTTTGTGCTTTTGATGGAAAAGTTTGCAACCAAGCCACACTCTGGAACACTCAATCATCTCAAATCCATATTAGTAAAACTTGAAAGATATGATGTGATTCAGGTTATAGATAAATGGGTACAAAATCAACCATTGCAGACAAGTTAGAGATTAGGCTGCAGATGCAGTTCACTTAAGGTGACTGAACACAACTTTTTTGATACCTGTGTTTCTTTCACCATTTTCTCTAAAACCCTTGATCTCTTGGTTGCCAAAACTGGCAGCAAGCAAGTTACCAACACAAACTTTGTTTTTTTGACAGTGAAGCTGACGTACATGCCATTGTCATGGCGACATGAATAAATATAAACAGGCCTTTAAAATCGGTTTTGTTCATTTGTAGAAAATCTAGTCATTAGTTTTTCTTTATGATTTGCATGCAATGAGCTTGTAACAATACTCACAAGTTCAAACCATTTTGCTAACAATTTCACAGAGAGGTCTTTAATTGTCCCTTGTTGAAGGTTCATTTGATTATTTAGAATTTCCTTAGTTAAAAATCAATTTTTTTCAATACTCCAGTTACTTATTTCCTAAAGTATTTTCGTGCCGAATTTCGTGAAATTCTAATGAGTGGTTCTTGAAAAATAGACATATTTCCAAGAAAGCAATTTTCCATTCAATTGCAATTTTTTTACCTACTACGCATGCGCTTTATTTAACTGGGTTCTCTTGGTAACGGTGAAAAAGCTGAGGGTTCTTTGCACCATTAACTTTTCTAACACGTCTTTGTAATAAAAGATTAAAGCCCTCAATAGAAAAAAATAGCACAGATAGTGCGGATATGTGTCGAGTAAACAAAACGACCACTCTGTTGACAGCATGTTTGTTTGTTTTTTGCAATCATCCTTGCGCATGCGCTGAATTGCAACAGCAAAAGCGCACACGAAAACTATGTTCACCATCTTAACCCTCTAACTTCCAGAAGTGATTTGCATATGACCCCCTCATGTGATATCCATACAGTATTCAGCAAACAGGTAATGAGAAAATTCAAACTCATCAGGTAATTTTTGTTATCTTGATCTAACACCAAATTCTTGTTACTCATTAACAAAGAAATGTATAGCAGCTAGAGGGGAGAATAAACAATCATATCTTGGTGTTAAAGGGTTAACCTAGCAAGAATCATAGTAAGATCTTTGTTACAATTCAAAATCATGACAAGTCTTTTAAGTATTTTTGAGTGAGATAAATTAAAATTAACTTAACACCTTAAAATAAATGTCATTTTATAGCTTTTAAAGCAGGAAAGAAAATGATAAAAAGATATATTTAGTACAATGTTCTTTTACAATACAATGTTCTTTATGGGTAAATACACGATTAACCCAGTAAAGAGTTTTCTAACAAATGGCCCTCACCCACCCTACCCACACCACAAAGATAGACCACAACACTGGGCACAACGTGCCCTACTCTTTTTGATCAGTGTGTGGGTTCATTAACGTCCCACAATTTTTTTTGTTATCACATTCAAGGGCGTGTGAGACGGGACCTTTGGCTTTACGTCCTATCTGTGAAGATGAAGCAATGTGAGCAAAGCGTCTTGCTTAAGGACACAACGTCATGCCCGACCCAGGACTTGAACCCGGGCCATCAGACTCAGAGTCCAGCGCACTGACCACTGACGCACTGACCACTGGACTACTCACGCCTCAATAGTAAGAGTTGGGGGTTGAGGGAAATCTTTCTCTAGGAGGCTCTATTTACATGATGTTTTTTAGTTGGTGAAAATGGTTTCCAAAATAATCCTGTTTCAGGAATGGTAAAAAAAAAAATTGATTTGGGCAGACTGTAAGATTATCTTCCCTGTCCCTTCCTATCAGATTTGTAAATCGATCAGTATCCAGACTAGGCACCTTTTATATTTTTTTAGACCTTTTACATTTTAATTTTCTTCTTTTTTTACCTTGTTTGGCTCAGTGATAACCATTTTCTCTCATATTTTTCATTTTTTTACCAAAGAAACTGCCTTTAATTAAGGACACCATCACTCTAAAAATTAATTATTTCATCATTTATTTTTTATTGTTATTCAAAGTTATACTCTTAATTCTGATTAAGTTTGTCTACCTGCATTTCAACATGACATTTTAAACCCTCATTACAATGGAGCCACAATTATTATCCACTTGGCAGCTTCTTAAGGTACATTATGATATCCCGTGACTTTCCTCTAGGATTCTTAAATAGCTTTTTCATTCCTAAAATAGCTTTTTCTGGAAACAGCGTTATTTCTCGGGGAAAAATAGTTTTAATAATAGTCATAATATATAGGATAAAGATCAAATGTTCGCCTTTAAAAAAAAAAGCATATTATTTTATTCATCTAGTGAATGAATTAGAAACCTAACTTAAGTTATTATTCCCGGATGAAATAAACAAAGGCTCTCCTTGAAACTTTGATTCATTGTCTCAGCTTCCACTTGTTGGTCTTTTTTAATGCTCTTTGAACCTTGAAAAATGCTTACTCATGAAAAGTTTCAAGATTTCTTCATTGATTAGATCAGATTTGCAATTACCTCAGTCATTTTCAAGCACATCAACAAAATGTAAGACCCTAATACTTAAACTATGTAAGAAAAGCATTCTACGGTAAGACTTCAGAATTGCCCCATAGTGTTATGATCTATTGTTGTAGCTCCCATTGCGAGCCTATGTTTACGTCAACATCCGGGCAATCGCCCATGTGCTTTGAAAGAAAAAATCGTCGCGTTCATTTTCAAGAATGTTTTGTTGCCGTTTATTGTCGTTGTTTGAAAACCCTAAGCTCGAACAGTCGGTGAGTTTTCATTTCAGTTGTTAATGTTGTAATTTCGTTTGTTTTAAGGGTGTTTTCTGTTTGCAGAAAACCTCTCCTTTACTGGTTAGTCGAGTTTTCGACTCAAGCAAATGTTTTTGTGAAATAAACAACATCATATAAGGAACGGCTCGACCAATCAGATTGCTGGAAACTCTTTGCTCAGCTCTGAAATTATACTAAATGTATATATTGTATATATGTATATATTAAACAACAACAAACATATGAAACATATGTGTGAACTGCGGTTATGAGACGTATATGAGAACGATCCTTCGCAGTAAAGCACTATTTGAGCAATAGTGAAAATCAGACCTGAAAAAAATTTCAGGCCTGTACGGGACTCGAACCACTGACCTCTGCGATACTAGTGCAGCGCTCTACCAATTGAGCTAACAAGCCAACTGGGAGCAGGCCATCAAATTAATTCGATATAAACCCGTAGATGATAAATCAAACAACAACAAACATATGAAACATATGTGTGAACTGCGGTTATGAGACGTATATGAGAACGATCCTTCGCAGTAAAGCACTATTTGAGCAATAGTGAAAATCAGACCTGAAAAAAATTTCAGGCCTGTACGGGATTCGAACCACTGACCTNTTCATCCACTTGTACATATGCTAGATTCGAGGCGTAATGAGAGAAATGCAAAGAATGTATGGAATGTAGATTGTTCACGTAAGATTTGTGTGCAAACCTTACCGATGCCGTCATCAATTTGCCCTCGTCACTGTTTTTGGGATATTACTTAACAAAATTATAGATCAGCAGACCTCGGAACCTCTGGAACTTGCGGGACCCATGATTATTTGTAAAAAGAAAGAGTAATGAAATAATAATAATAATAATAATAATAAATTAAATCAAAAGTAAACCTTAACGCTGTTCGAAATTTCGTCTAAGAGAATTATTTTTCCATCGCCTTCCACAGTTAGCCTTAGTTTGCACAGCGAGCCCCTGTAAATTTTTTTGCGTTGCAAAATGTAAGGATTTGTATGGGAATAATAGGTCACGCTCTCAACCAAAATAAAGCCGAATTAGTTTCGTATGAAAAAGAGTTGCCTCGCTTAAGTAGTTTTTCCTTTGCATAGTGTGAGTTTCCTTGGGCTGACTTGGGGCCGTTTAGTTCGGTTTAGTTCTGGGTTCCACAGGTTCAGACGGTTCCTCGATTTCCTCAGGTTCTGCAAATCAGCGAGTTCCTCTCGGAATGAGGATCGTTCGGGGAAACCCCTACGCACAACCGCACGTACTTATATTTACATGGTTATAGTAAAGGAGGTTTTTCTTTCACAAAGGAATAGCCTTTAATTGATCCCCAATTGTGCTACAAAATACAATCTTCTAAGGTTTGTATGAACTAAATTCGATTAACGTTGTAAAAAAAAATCATGTCTTTGTTCGTTTTTTTGCCACTACGACCAAAGTCGACATAAACTGGACAGTTTTCATTTTTTCTGCATGTGTCATCCCAGACGTAGCGATGAACTTGCTTGGTGGACTTCTCTCCTTTCGTTTCATCAAGGATGACTCGGAGTATAAATCAGGATTTGCAGCAATTATGGTAAGTGATTAAGTAACGTAAAGACTTGCATATTTTCTACGAAATAGAACTTCTATGGAAAAACACAGAGGCACGTGCTTGTGTAGGTAAAAACAGGGTAATCACTATGAAATTTGACCGCGAACGCAAACATTCTATGTTGCTGTGTTCAAGTGAGTTTAGACTGAGGCTGTTTAGTTCAATTTCAGTTCATATACTTTGTCAAGGGCAAAGTGATTAAAAAATCCGACTACGCGAAGGAAAAACCGAAAAGCGAGGTAATTTTTTTAAAAAGGTTTTTAGATTAAGAATGCGAACGTTTCCAAAGTTCCACACTAGTTCGTGTATTGCGCAACGTAGATGGACATATTTGCATATTTACCCATAGCAAGCTTGCGCCACCTTAAAAAAAATTAGAATCTTTCTGCTCTCAGCCATGTTTATATCTAGTAAATACGTACTATTCAAGCAAAGTGTGCTTTTTTGCACGCACTGATTGGTTAATGCTGTACGATCAGCCTCGGAAATGTTTATTCAAATCGATTGAATTTCGGGCTTCGTCCGCACAGCCTCGCTTTCGTTTTAAAAATGATGGAGGCTCATAAAATGTTTTAAATTTCTTACTGAGACATTTTTAAGCATCATTTTTCTTTTGGTAAAGACCAAAGCCTGTAATTTTGGAGATCTTCACTGTTAAGTTGGATTTTCAAGGTGATCTGATGTGTGAATTTTGTGGAACTAAAATTGAAAGTTTCGTACAAATAATTTACCAATGTTTGTTTCATTTTGCATTGTTCCCTTTCATTTTTCTCTGTTTTTCTCATTTTTCTATATTGTTCTATATTTCTTAGGTGTTGCTTGCAGTTTCTTCATTCACCGGAGTTAGAGGCAAACATGGCCAGTGCCCAGACTGCACGGGGGGACAATATATCAAAGTCATTGATCCAGCAACTGGCAAGTGTGAATCATGCTGGCCTTGTACTGTGTGTCAGGAGGGCACAGGCTCTTCAGTACGATGCGGATCAGTTGTACCTAGAGGCATAGATATACACTGTGTTCCTTGTGTTAAAGGCATAAACTTTTCTAGCAGCTCCAGTACTGAACAGTGCCAGCCTTGTGGGGTTTGTTCACGGAAGCATGAGCGTGTCTCGGCTGAATGTACCCTATTCAGTAATTTGAAATGTAAATGTGAGACTGGATTTTATCGCAACAAAACCACTACTGAATGTCAAACTTGTGATACCTGTTGCTCCAGTGATGAAGACAATGATATTGTTGAAAAATGTCAAAAAGATGCAGAAAACAAAGAAGATGAACAGCTCCTAGTGTCCAGCTCCTTCACAGTCATTTCAACATCTTCATCTGCTGTAAAATCCTCTACATTCCATGTAGCTCCAACTCCTTCACTTTCAAGCTCAACCAAAATCATGCCAGTTCCATCAAAACCCAAGCTGATCCATCCGACTACAGAAAGTGTTTTATCAGTCTATGAAAGGCATAGTGTGCCATCTGCTGAACTTAAGATTGATGTGAACCTTAAACATGTTGAAATTATGAAGTGGATCAAAGGACTGACATGCTCTGTGGGTGTTTTAGCTCTCATTTGTGTATCAGATTACTTTCTGAACCCAAAGCTGAAAAAGTTCAGGGAAAGGGGACAGATTAATCATCCAAGTCAGCAATCTTATAGATTTTCTACCCTTAACCAGCATGACCAAGAAAATCCTATATTACTTAAAGGAGCAGGTACTTCATCCAGAAGGTCTGACACTGATGGGCCAATTAGAAGTACAGATGCAATCAATTGTACAGAGGATAATGAGGACGATGAAGTCATGATGATATGTAACCAGTATGTGCAGAAAACTGAGATGGAAAATTTCCAGAGAGGAATTCCAATATCAACAGGTGGCAAACCTAGAAGTTCCATCCCTGAAGGTAACAAAAGTAAAGCAAAATTGTAGTCTTAAGATATCATCTAACTAGGCTGTACAATATACAGTACATTATGAAGTCTGTACATACATTAATAGGTGCTTACCTGCATCTCATTTTTCCCAGTTTTAGGAGAACTGAATCACTAGAAGTGTTCTCCTCTAGGGGTGGATTTTAGTCCATTGCAGGTCACCAGTTCTTCTCCCCCCAGCTTTTCATCAAGTTCCACAATTTCCTCTTTGTCATTTATACATATTTGTAGAGAGGACATAGTTAGAGCTGTGTGTCTTGCCCATGGAACACAACAATACAACTAGACCAGGGCTGAAATATGGACCTTTCAATGGAAAGCTCGATTTGCAAACCATGAGGCTATTGAACATTTCCTATCAATACACTGTGATACTATCGGAAAGCCAAAATCTGAGAAATATGGCTGTCACATTAGTCAAATATAAAATGCCTTTTGTAAGTTTATCAGGTCTTAGTCATGTCAACCACACATTAGCATTAATCACATTTTATTAGTAAAAGCACTGTACTCTGTAAAGAGTATATTGGCTATAGCTACTGCTAAATACAAATCTGACTTGACAAGACTTCAATTTCTACATTTTGTACATCCAATGTTTAAAGGCAGTTATTTGCATTTGTGGTGAAGAATTTACTATACCTGCGGAGTGAAAAGTGGTGTCTTGGCCCTCTAATAATTACTTTTAAAAAAGTTGTTTAATCTTGCCGAAACGTTACATGACTCTGATTTATTCCATTTGAAGCCTTGAAATAAATTATTGCAGTGATGTTGGCCAATTTTTTTTCAGGTTTATTTCCTAATTTGATAGATATTTCTCTCAGAGAGACTCATTGCTGACACTATTGAAATACATCAAACAATGCATGTTTAACACAGGTTAAAACAGATGTAGCTAATGGGATGTCCTTTACATCAAATTAACTTTTGCAATACTTAATGTTCCTATGATTATTATATATTAATAGTTCCAGCACCAACATTTGAGAAAACTGATGTGCATAAATGTCCTGATCAGGATTATTTAAAACAAGGCACAGGGTCAAGTATGTGATTTGTTTTGTTTTTTTTTTTTGTGAAAGATATGCTGTAATATGCTAATTAACCCATTTTTCTTTCTTACAACAATTTCAGTTTCAGTCATTATGACAGTTGATTTATTGACCTATTTCCTATAGATCTTTTCCCAGCTGTTTCAAAGTCAGTGCAAAACCATATGGAGGGCATCCCACCAACTTCTCCACATTCTGTTGATACTGGATTGCAACAACTGAGTAAGAAACAGATGTTGAGATTCTTAATTTTCATTAAGTAGAGTTAAATAGCCACAAAAACTATTTTTAATTAGTGACCACGGAGTGGATGAACACTACACAATAATGATTCTAGTGTGTTACATGATAGCCCATTTGCGAATTACCCTTGACCTCATTTTCAAAACGAGTCCGTGCTAATCCTTTCATATGATAATAAGTTTCCATTCACGTGCAAATTAAACTCATTTTCACAAGAATGGTTGAGCATGAGGACTCATTTTGAAAATGAGGCCAAGGGTAATTTGCAAATGGGTTATTGTGTTAAAAAGAAACTAATCAGACATGAGGGGGGCTAAAATCAATTTTGATTTCAATTGTGTATCCTACTGTCCTGTTTGAGTGGTCAATTAAGCATTGAACATTCCTAAGACATTTTTGCCAGCATTTGCTTTTTCACCAGATGACTGGAATAATGATTAATCTTTCATTTCTCTTTTTTTTCTACCACTAACAGGCAGATCTGAGGGAAATGACAACAATCATGATTTGATAATTTTTTCTGGTACTCCATCTTTCCCTGAAGAGACAACCTGCGATTCCTCTTTGCATTTGGAACATAACACGCCATTTGTGAATTGCATAGTGCATATGCATCATCCTACAAGTAAGAAATAGTTTTGGCCAAGTATTTATAATAATTCTTTAGAAGCATCTTTTCTAAGCTCATGATCAGTGACAAAATTTACAAAGCTTTGGTAAAAGAACAATGAAGTAACAACATGACTGAATGGACAAACTCAGGTCTAGTAAATGTAATTATTTATAGATGAAGGAACCACTGAGCTAAAATCTATCTTCCATTTGTACAGTTTACCAGGCATGTACCAGTTCATTTTCTCCCCAATCATGGCCTCCCTCCCTTGCAGAAATTGTAAAGAATAATTCCTTATCTCCTGGATTGGATCAGCCAGTGAGAGTAGCAGTCAGCTGGTCAGAATTATCTCAGAATGAAAGATACAGCACCAGGATTTTGGAAATGCCATTTAAGCTTCTCTATGATATGTGCTTGTCCCTTGACATACCACGAACTGATGGCAAAGATATTAGAATGCTAGCAGACAAGCTTGGAATTACAGGCCGCAACTTTGATCGTCTTAAACAAGCTGCCATTACAGATAATTCTAATAATCCCATTTCATATGTTCTCCTGAAAGAAAGTTTTGATGCAGTAAATGGTACTGTGGGGGATTTTGTTGACATAATGAATGAAATAGGAAGGAGGGACATAGTTGATGACATAAATGATTGGCCTGGCTGATGACAACTTACTTAGTAGGGGCAGATAATTAGAACAGGGGTTTGGAGGAAGGGGGCGAGAAAATTAATTTTCATGTAAGTCATTTATTCCCCTTCCTGTTGTACAGGATTATAATTTGCATTTATCATGGAACTTAAGGTTAATTAATTAAGAAAATCAGTGTTTGGAGAAGTGTATGATGAGTAGGCCTAGATACAAAAATCCCCAAAAATTGTCTGAAAAATATTTTGTACATTCTCCAAAAAAATTCTATAAATCTCAATCTTATCTCTAAAAATCTCAATTTACCTCAGATGATTTGCATAAGAGGTGAGATTCCTTTGCCGAAATTGCATGGAGGCACTTTAAAAGATTCAAAATGATCAGGTAATTAGTAGAAAATTTAAGTGGTTCGTCTCCTTACAGATTAGTTTCTCAAATAAGCGATAACGACAAATAAAACAGTAGGCAGAGTAAGTTCTGTTAACCACGTTTATTTGATTTTATACCATCAGCGGTATTTTTCTAGACATTAGTGCTAAATATCCTTAAATGTTCTACAAATCCTCAAATTGTCATAAACTTCCATTTGACTCTAAAAATCCTTAAAAAAATTCCTGATTTTTGTACTTAGCCCTGGTGATGAGAAAACAAGAGAAAAAAATTTGTGCTGATCCCAAAATTTCTCACCCTCACCCCTCTTGTCACTTTTCTAATTGCAGGTCTTCACGTTTTTCATTCCTGCTTGACCCGCTAGGAAATATTTCTTTAAACTTTTTTTTTCAAAGCTTCTAACCATGAAGTTTTATGTAGCCCAGTAAGAATCATTTTATTTTGGAAAAGTGTCTTTAACTTGAAATGCTGGCAATCTAAAATCCTTGCATGATTTATTTTATTTATTTATTTGAATATATATTTAAAATCTTGACTAGTTTTGACATTTAAATTCTCCCATCATAAGCCCAAACTCCAGTATCTCTTCGTAGCAGCTTCTGAAGTTGCAAAAACTAATGAGTTAGTGCAAGTTTTCTTTTAGGTTTAGGTTTAGAAATAGGTTTATTTTAATCACTCTGCTTTACTTAAATAAAATATGGTGGGGTTTTTCTTTCAAAGTTATTACTTTCCAGGACAATTTACTTAAGGTGATTACTTAGACGAAAAAGCTATAGAGCAATTGTTTTTTCTTTCCTTAAATGTTCACTATCAATGTCTGTTTTGAAAACAAAATGAAAAAAGATAGGTCACTATGCTTGAATCATAGTACAGTGCGTCAAAAAAATACAGACTTAAAGGTTTCTTTAAAAAAAATAAGGAACAATTTTTTTTCAACTTTCCTTAAAATGTTTACGGTCAATGTCTGTTTCGAAAATTAAAATAAAAAGGATAGGTCACCGTGCTTGTATCATAGCTCCCTCTCCCCACCGCACATTCCGCTCGCCCCAATACCCTCTCCTCTCCCCCAGGGCTTGCTTCGCAGGCTAGCAGCAAGCAAGTTAACAACACAAACTTTGTTTTTTTGATAAAGAGCTGACGTATGTGCTGTTGCCATGGCGACATGAATACATATAAAGAGGCAATTAAAATCGGTTTTGTTTCTTTGTAGAAAATCTAGTCATTAGATTTTCTTTATAATTTGCTTGCAACGAGCTTGTAACGATACTCACAAGTTAACACCATTTTGCTAACAATTTAACAGAGAGATCTTTAATTATCTCTTGTTGAAGGTTCACTCGATTTTCTAGAATTTTCTTTGTTTAAAATCAGTTTTTTTTTTTCAATACTCCAGTTGCTTATTTCCTAAAGTATTATCGTGCCAAATTTCGTGAAATTCTAATGAGTGGTTCTCAAGAAATAGGTAGGGCTGCAAATAACGGCCGGTCAACAGACAATGTCCGGTCAAAATTGGGTACTGACCGGACAAATCCTTGGATTGCCGGACATCTTGTCCGGTCCTTTACCGACTCGTTCGAAGAAATTTTAATTTTTAACCGCTTGATAATCACAAGGGACAACAGTCATGTTTCCGAAAGGAAAAAAAACCAATATAAAAATAGACAAATTAGTAGTCGAGAAATTCCCGGCAGTCGCAAATTTCTACGATGCCATCAAGTCCTGTCGCGACCCCAAATCATCGTGTCTTCCGTTATTTTATTTACTTTATTTAAGTGTTCCCAGTTAGTAGAGGGTTTTACCGAAGGGGGGAAAGTGTTAATTGTAGAGCTTGATGAACTTGAGTAGCGAAACCGAGTTATTTATTTTTCAAGCCCTAGGAATTGTAACGAGCATCCGAACGTGAAATGCTTGACCGCAACGTAATAGAACTATTCAAGTTTTTGATTTGTTGCAATCACTAATTACGTTCAGAGTAAAGCAGTACCATTGGCATTTGGCTAAAAATATTTTTTTCCATTTACTTGTCTTGCAATGCGGCTTGCCAGAAGATTTTGCTATTAGTTAAAAAGTTTTCTTAGGTGAAAAGGTAGCGTACAGTTATTTACTGTACAAAAGGTTCTCGTTTTATTTTCTATATATTAATATCCAATTATTTTTGTTGTTGTTGTCTTTTAGGGGATAGCTTTCTGCTTGAAACTAAAGGAAGCATAGTGTTCGAAAAAAAAATAGTTGAAAAGAACAAGCCATATGTCACTTCCGGCACACCCAGCAAAACGTGCTTGGTTACTAAGCTTTCTGGTGATTAGCTCAAAAATGGAGCGTAAAACACAACAGGTGGAAGAATTAGGTTGTCTTTAAGGGATTCTAAATGGAAGAAAGTCAGCGAGCGCAACGATTGCACTTGGAATAAGACGCCATGCATTTTATACAATTACATACAGTGGTGCCGAATTTCGAAACTATATGAGTTAAAGTTAAGTGTTTCTTATTTATATTTAAGCTTACATTTCAGTTAGGTTTATAGTCCTTTTCACAGTGTGGGCTTGGTGGCCAAGCCTTTGAACAGGAGTGAGGCTAAGGGTGACCCTGTTGTGATAGAGACCTGATCATGAATATATGAAGTTCATATATTCATCATATCAGACCTGTATCTAGTTGGCATGATAACAAAGAAATTTCCATTTGAAAAGCAGCAACATCTCTATCAAAACAAGGTCACCCTTAGCCTCACTTCTGTTCAAAGGCCTGGCCACCAAGCCCACGAACCCTACAGCTTTCACACATTCGGCATATTTTACTTATGCAAAACATGCAAAAGCATGTTTGACCGGACAACGTGACCGGCGACTGCCCGTTAGTTATTTGCAGCCTTGAATAGGCATATACCGAGAAAGCAATTTTCCATTCAATCGCAATTTTTTTACTTACTACGCATGCGCTACATTTAACTGGGTTCTTTCGGTAACGACGAAAAAGCTGAGAATATTGTTGGGTTTTTTGTACCGTTAACTTTTCTAACATATCTTTGTAATAAAAAATTAAAGGAAATACACCGCGCCAACTATAGAGAAAAATATAGCACAGATAGTGCGGGTACGTGTTGAGTAAACAAGTTTGAGTAAATAAAATGACCGCTCTAGATCTCTATTGACCGCATGTTTGTTTAGTTTCTTAGCTTATCTCTGCAGCTTTCAACCACCGTAACTTTAAACGTACTTAGAAATAAAAATAAAACTCCACCCAAATAAAAGCCCGCCGATGTCGTTAGGACTTCTTAGGTTCAAATTTTCTCCCCTCTCCACGAGAAAAACCCACCTTGAAATTATGCCCATATAAGGGTGGTGAACAGGGTGTGGACAAAACCTGGCCTAGGCCATGGCCTACCCTGTGGCCTACCCTGTAGCCTACCCTTTGGCCTACCCTGTGGCCTACCCTATGGCCTACCCTATGGCCTACCGGCGGTCAGATTTTTAAAAGGATAGCATTGCTGGAAACCTCTCAACGTTTTCCTGAGTACTGTCTTACCAACGACTTTCTTCTGCTGTTTTGGTGGCCACAATCCGATCTAAATTTCTTAACCTTCTGATAGAATAAGGAAATCGAGGAACAGAAGCCGGTTAAACGCAACTTTTGGGCAAACATCATCATATCAGCTCTCCTTTCAAATTAATGCAACACTGGCCCTTTCTTTGGGAAAGCAAGTAAAGTTTGCGAAATGTTTATAACGGCGATGCGTGCGTGTCCCGCGGGGTGCTCGCTGCAAATTCAATACTCTACAGCACTTGAGGGCACTTAAAAAATTGGCCTGGCACGTAATGTTTGCGTTTTCTTGCCTGGATATGTATGCTCTCCAATATAAGCCGTTCATTACATTTTTACACTAGCACTCCGCTATATGTTACCAACTGACAGCCTGATAAAGCCGCCATTTTGTATATCCTCTGCGACCACGCAATATTGGCCCCTCCTCTCCCCTCCCCCTTAACCTACCGTTATGGTTGGTAAAGTCTGTTTACGAGCCTAGTGGCCCATTAGGCCGGTGCTTAATTCCGGTTTCTGTAGCACGAAGTGACTAAGAGTATTTCTACTCCCCCCTAGATGGGATGCTAGTCCATCGCAGGGTTACCCCCAGCATTAAATTGCCGATACTCATTTATACACCTGGGTGAAGAGAGGCACTGTGAGAGTAAAGTGTCTTGCCTAAGAACACAACACAAAGTCCCGGCCGGGGCACGAACCCGGACCACTCGATCCGGAGTCGAGCGCACTAACCATGAGGCCACCGCGTCTCCACACCGTTACTGGGTTGAGTTCTGTGATATTTGCAGTGTTTCGTTCCCTCGGACGTTGAAAATCGTGTTAGCGACCTCTTAGCATACTATGGTGGCCGAGAACTGCCATTAAAAATATTCATATTTATAGGAATTATTTTTTTAATTTCGATTTATTTCTCATTTTTCTTTTTAAAATAAAAGCAAATGAAAGTAAAATGTAAAATAGAAATAACATGAAACCAAAGATAAAAGAAATCAAATCAAAATTACATACTACCCGGCCGAGCGCTGCGACTAGTTTTTTTCTTTTTTTTTTTTGGCGGTCGGAAAAATAATTTGTTCGTGGCCGAACGCTGCCACATGGCCGAGGGCTGCCAAACAAACCCAGAATTCTTTGCAGGATGCCCTTCAAGATTCTAGTATGGCTGATGCCGCGTGGAAAAGCTAAAAAGAGAAAGTGACTGCGAAAAGAGGGAAGAAGCGTGCTGCAGGAGATACAACGCATAAATTAATTAAAGGAAAGGAGCTGTATAATAATAACTGTCGAATCCAACGAAGAATAAGAGCCGTTTGCTCACGGTGGGTTTCGCAATGCATACAAATCAACCACAAAGCACCCACAGTTTAAGGGGACTATCTGGGTCATTAAAAGATACCTTCCTGATGCTGTGAGGGGAATAAATGACATTGGGCAAACTGTCCAACAACATACCCAAAAGGCAGTTCAGATGCATCTTCTTGCAAGGAAGTTTGCTCGCCAGTTGGAACAAAAAATCATTGCAAAACATGCATTTGGAGAGGTCCTAAGGTATAGAAAGATCTACTACGGGGAAGATGATAAAGGAGAATTTGCTACTGTGGAGATTATTGATGGACAGTTTACCAAGTACTTAAACAATACTGGTGATTGTTGTGTCGAGGAAACAGATGTTATGGGTCAGAAGGCTCAATGTGTAACCCATTTTTCTTATGAAAAGTCAGACAAAAAACTAATGCTGCTAGACATACAAGGACATACGGTAGCTTCAAAGGGACAAACACTTTCCTCTCTCTTTTTTTTCACTTGCGACTTAGCTGCTACTTTCTTGCGACTTAGCTGCGACTTTCTTGCTACTTTCTTGCGACTTAGCTGCGACTTTCTTGCGACTTAGCTGCGACTTTCTTGCTACTTTCTTGCGACTTAGCTGCGACTTTCTTGCTACTTTCTTGCGATTTAGCTGCGACTTTCTTGCTACTTTCTTGCGACTTAGCTGCGACTTTCTTGCTACTTTCTTGCGACTTAGCTGCGACTTTCTTGCTACTTTCTTGCGACTTAGCTGCGACTTTCTTGCTACTTTCTTGCGACTTAGCTGCGACTTTCTTGCTACTTTCTTGCGACCTAGCTGCGACTTTCCTGCTACTTTCTTGCGACTTAGCTGCCTGGCTACCTAGCTGGGCCGAGTGG